CAGCGATAGGTATAGTAGCGTACGCAGTGCAAGCAGATATCGTTCAAAGGGCTGAATCCACGATCGATTGACGTATTTCGTACGCTAAGCTTAGCGTGGCACGCGTTTCTTGGGCTATCAGCAAAGGCAGCAGAAGGCGTAGGGTTGGTAGGAGAGCAAGAGAGAAAGCGAAAACAGGCACTAAGCTGCCCAGACTACTCGACACGGCTACAGCCGCAGCTCCAGCCTCAGCCCGAGCACGAGACTACGCAGCAGCCAGAAGCGAAGAGAGCTAAGCTAACGCAGGCGTACCAGGCCAACACGCGTACGACGACAGAGAAGCAGCTCACAGATGCTGTTCGCCAGGTACTATGTATCCCTACTAATCAGCTAGTTACCTATAGATCGCCAGATCAGAAGCGAGGGCTAGACGCCGTCGTACAAGGCGTGAGTCCTCTTATCGTTGTTCTACCTACAGGGGGAGGCAAAACACTTCTACCTTTTACAGCTGCTATCCTTGATCGTAGCCAGCAGATAGATCGGCTAAGCGTAACGATTCTTGTCGTCCCATTTCGAGCTTTAATTGAGGATATGCTCGTACGGCTTGCACAAGCAAATATCCAAGCTATTGAGTGGCAGCCAGGCGAGATAGGCGAGCTGCAGCGTCGTAGTCGACTGGCTAGCGTAGTGGTTGTAAGTGCTGACCACGTTAGTAGCTCTAACGGCAGCTTTCTCTCGTACGCAGCTTTGCTCGCTCGGCAGCAGATTCTACGACGCGTAGTAATTGACGAGTGCCATGTAGCTATTACAGCAGACTCTTGGCGACCAAAGCTCGCGCGGCTTAAAGACTTACGGCTACTATCGTGCCAGCTAGTACTACTTACAGCTACGCTGCCTCCGTCGCTTGAAAGCCAGCTACAGCAGAGGCTACTTATACCTACAGCTAGGATTATCCGAGCAAGAACCACGCAGCGAGCTAATACGCAGTACACTGTCTACTACTGCTCGCGAGATCAGCTACTTGAACAAGCCGTACAGCAAGCGCGTAGGTTAATGAGAGAGGCAGAACAGGCTTATAGAGGTAGCTGTACGGTAGCTGTAGCTGCAGCAGCTATAGGAGACAGCTGTGCTAAAGGGATCGTGTACTGCCGCAGTCGTCAGCTTTGTGATGAGATAGCTACAGCGATGGGCTGCAGTAGCTATCACGCAGGTGTAGGTTCTCGTACGGCAATACTAGAGCAGTGGCGGCAGCGTGGTGGGCTAATTGTGTGTACGTCTGCGCTAGGAGTAGGAGTAGATATCGCAGGGGTAGGGTTTACGCTGCATATCGAACAGCCATGGAGCATGATTGATTTTGTGCAGGAGAGTGGGAGAGCGCGAGGGCAGGGTAAGGCAGTGGTGCTAGCAGTAGTAGAAGAAGAGCGGCGGCAGCGAGCACAGCAGCGAGCACAGCGAGTGCGGCAGAAGCAGCAGGCAGATGAGGCAGATGAGACGGAGACAGAGACAGAGATAGAGAAGGAGACGGAGACTGACGAGAGTGAAGAGATGGATGATAGTCAGGCCGTAGCAAGGCTAATACGGACGCGCGGCTGTCGGCGAAGGGCAATTAGTCGATATATGGACGGCATAGAGGCATCGTGTAGGCAGCTAGAAGAAGCTACAGCAGATCAAGTGGTTGCGTGGTGCGATAACTGCAATCGACGCAGGGCTAGCAGCACGCAGGAGGCTATACAGCAAGGAGTAGTAGTAGAAGCTACTACTACTACGGCAGATACGAGCGGACAGGCAGCGTGGCAAGCAGATGCGCAGCTGCAGGCAGTGCAGGAGAGGGTCGTACGGGCGAAGCTGAATGAGCTAGCGCAGCAGATATGCCCGTACTGCTGGGGGATACTACACGAAATATTTGGTGGAGAGCGTAGTGCGAGGCGGATAGAAGAAGAGCAGGAGGCTGAGCATAGCATTTGGGAGTGCTGGCGGCTAATAGAGAGAGGTGAAAGAGTACAGCAGCCGCTAGATAGTGTACGGCGGTGGATTCGCTATAGTAAGGAGCTAGATATATGCTGGAAATGTGGGATGATACAGAAGCTGTGCGAGTGGGAGAGCGGAGAGCAGCAGCAGCAGAAGTGTAGTTGGAATAACGTAGTAGTGCCGGTACTATATGGGCTACGGGAGGCGGCAGTAGCTAGAAAGCAGCTAGAGAGCGGTAGAGTAGATACTGTGATTGAACAAGGTGGGTTCAATATAGAAGTAGAAGAGAGTAGAGAGAGTAGAGAGAGTAGAGAGAGTAGAGAGAGTAGAGAGAGTAGAGAGGGTAGAGAGAGTGGAGAGAGTAGAGAGAGCAGAGAGAGCAGAGAGAGCAGAGAGAGTAGAGAGAGTAAAGATAGAAGATTTGGGCAGTGGATTGGGCAGAAGCATAGCAGACGAGTACTAGGTAGAGTAGTAAGTAATGGTGCTGCAGTAGTAGTAGGGGCTATACTAGCAGAAGTAGTAGTTAAATAGCGTAGTAGTAGTAGACTTAGTAGTAGTAGAAATAGTAAATACTATAGAAAGTAAAGTTATATTACTATATATTTATATATATAAAAAGAAGAATAAAACAAAGTTATAACTAGTAGTAGTAGTTAAATAAAAAGAAAAAGAATAGAATAGAAAGTTAAAATAGAAAAGAGGGTTAAGAGAAGAAATGAAGAAGAAATTAAGAAGAAATAAAGAAGAAATAAAGACAACATAGAGAAGAAATATAATAAGAATAAAGTAAAGATATAATAAG